GACACCGGAGCCAGCCCGGAGACCAGCGGCAAGGATAGGTGGATTTGCTGTTTGCCCTCCCCTGGATTCGGGACTGCTGGTGGGCTCCCCAGCAGGTGGAGAGACCTGCGGACACCAGCCCAGGGACAGCCGCCGCCAGCCAGCAGTGAGCCTGTAGCAGACGTGGCACCAGGTTCCCAACTTCCTCCGGGCACCTCCTGTGCACAGACCTGAGCCGCATGGCAGGCACCATATTGCCTCTTCCTCCCCTCCACCGACCCTACCCATGGCTGCCCGGAGAGACAATACAGCCACCAGCCAGAGGCACCTCCAAGGAACAGGACTTCCTTTTGGACCTTACAGCTGACTCAGGGGAACTCAGACTGTGAGCTCCGTACCCGCCAGCTCTCCCAGGTGCTGCTGGCACAGTGTTCCCAGGAGAACGGTGCCAACTCAGAGGCTGAGAGACATAGATCCAGCTTGGGCTCCCTGTGGGTGAATTGGACCGGAACTCCTGTCCTGGTGGGGATAAGTTTGAACTCCGGGACCCAGAGGTCGGACCTGCAGACCAGATCCCCTGCACCGAGGGCTAGCATTGCCTGGGGCACAGAAGGGTTATACGTGAACAGCCTACTGAGGTCTGTGTGCCTCCAGGGGCGGATCAGCATCCTAGAGGGCAACCCTCCTCCCAGGAGGAGGCCGTGCGCCCAGCCCAGGTGGCGTTCCTGTGCAGGAACCTCCCGCCGGCATCACATCCCGGGAGGCTAGTGGCTTGTGGTCTGGCCTGCTGGCAGAGGCCCAGGAGTGGCTGCGGAGTTGGGGAGGGTGGAAAGAAGCGAGGCCCGCTCCAGACTGCTGGTCTCAGACAGCCCCACCCCCACACCCAGACTTTCTGGCTGAGCGGACATTCAGCCCCACCCTGACAGCTTTCCTGGAAGCAGAGAACAGAACTTTGACCCCTGCTAACGCCTGAGGGCAGGCTTACCAACCCAGCCTCGCCAGAAACAAGAGCTGATAACAGGACACAAAATCAATAGCATAGCCTGTTCTCCCAAGCAAACGCCACCTACTGACAAGGACAGCATCTTGCACAGCCTTTCACGGCACCACACTGACTCAATATACAGGGAGTGGTCCAATCTCACCCACAGACACCACCTAACACCTCAGAAACTAAACAAGGTGTGTGAATACCCAAACAATAAACTAAAGGAAAGAAACAACAACTGATCGACATGGGAAGAAATCAGCGAAAGAACTCAGGATATATGAAGAACCAAACGGAAAACACACCCCCAAAGAGGAGCACCAGCCCCCTAGAAACGTACACCAACTTTGGAATTTCGTATGTGGATCATAAGAACACTCACCGAGCTGCAACAACAACTCAATAACCAACCAAAAAACCACAAAGGCCTCCAGGATATGGAAAAAAAATAGACACAATGAATGAAAAGTTTAACCAAACTCCTGGAAATGAAGAATCTATTCAAGGACTACAAAATACAGTGGAAGTCTCAAGAACAGGGTAGATCAAACAGAAGAAAGAATCTCAGAGCTTGAAGATTCTCAGAGCTCTCACCCTCCAATTAAATAAATCAGTCACAGAAATAGAGCAGAGAAACAAGAGAAAAGAGCAAAGCCTACAAGAGATGTGGGATTATGTGAAGAAACTTAATGTGAGGGTCATAGGGTTACCAGAGGGGAAGAAGACAACACTCAAGGGTTGGACATGCTGTTGAAGATATAATAGAGGAAAATTCTCCCAGGCCTTGCTCAAAATCTTGATATACAGTTCAAGAAGCTCAGAGGACCCTTGGAGATTCAACGCAAACAGGAAGACGTCACGACATGCAGTCATCAGACTGACCAAAGTTCAACTAAAGAGGCCCTTTAAAGAGCTGTAAGACAAAAGAAGCAGGTAACATACAAGGGAAAGCCAATTTGAATAACATCAGACTTCTCTAATGAGACTTTACAAGCAAGGAGAGACTGGGGCCCCATTCTCAATCTTTTGAAACAAAACAATCCCAGCCTAGAATATTATCTCCTGCAAAACTAAGCTTCGTATATGAAGGAGAAATAAAACATCCTCAGACAGCAAAGGCTCAGAGAATCACCAAGACAAGACCAGCCCTACAAGAAAGTACTTAAACAGCGTTATGCACGGAACATCATAATAATAACCCACGAATATAAAAACAACCAAACCAAAGATATTAAAGGCCAGATATTAAATGGCTCAAGACAGAAATCATAGCAAACATCCAACCCAACAGAATGAAGTAATCTACCTTATATCAGTCCTCTCAATAAATGTGAATGGCTTAAACTCTCCACTCAAGAGACATAGGCTGGCTGAATGGATAAGAAAATACAGGCCAAGATATGCTGTCTTCAGGAAAACACATCTAACCTGCAAGGATGCATATAGATGATAAAAAAATAGGTGAGATCAAATTCCAAGCAAATAGAGCCAAAAGAAGGCTGGTGTGGCAGTTTAATTTCAGACGATTTAGTTTTTAAACCAACAAAAGTAGTGAAAGACAAAGAGGGTCGTTATATAATGGTGAAGGGCACACTTCAACAAGAAGAGATAAACAATTTTAAATATAGATGCACCCAACTTAGGTGCACCCAGATTCATAAAGCAAACCTTACTGGAGCTAAGCAAATGGAATAATAACACATCAACTCATCACACGGATTCACACACACCATGACGGCACGAGCAGAATCCTCCAACAGAAAATTAATAAAGAAATAATGGACTTAAACAAAACTCTAGAACAATTGGGTCTGACAGACATTTACAGAAATTCTACCCAAAATCACTGAATATACGTTCTTTCTCCATCGCTCACGGGACATTCTCTAAGATTGACCATATCTAGGACACAAGAAATCTCAAGAAATTTAAAAAAAAGAAATCATACCATGACCTTCTCAGATCACAGTGGAAATAAAGTAGAAATCAACCCTAAAGAAACTCAACATTTCTACACAAAAAAGTGGAAATTAAAACAACCTCCTACTAAATGATTACTTCATAAACGGAAATAAAAAAATTCTTATGAAAGAAAACGACATGGAGAGACAAGTTATCAAACTCTCTGGGACACAGCTAAGCAGTTCTGAGAGAAAGTTTATCTCCATAAAATGCCTATAACCAAAAGACAAGAAGATCACAAATAGACATCTAATGAAACGACTCAAAGAGCTGAAAGAAGAACAGACAACCCAAACAGCAGATAGAAGTGAAATTCAACAAGATCAAATCAGAATAACGAAATTGAAACAGGGAAGCTATTCAGGGAGATTAATAAAAAGTGGTTCTTGAAAAAATAACAAAATTGACACATCATTGGCTAAGCTAACGAAAGCAGAAGAGAGAAATCTCTAATAAGCTCATTCAGGAATAAAAAGGAGATATCACACTGATCCCAAGAGATACAATATACAATTTATGAATACTACAAAATCTTTATGCACACAAACTGAAAATGTGGAGGAATGGACAAATTTCTAGAAACACAAGCCTCCCTAGGCTCAACCAGGAAGAATAGATTCCCTGAACAGACCATCTCAACAGCTGAATAGAAGCAGCAATTAAAAATCTCCTAAAAAAAAGTCCGGTCAGATGGCTTCCACACCGAATTTTACCACATTACAAAAGAACTACTACCTATTTGCAGAAACTATTCACAACATCGAGAAGAACGGAACTCCCCGACACCTTCTATGAAGCGAATATTACTCTGATACCAAACCAGGAAAGGATGCAACAAAAAGAAAACTACAGACCAATATCCTAATGAATATATGATGCAAAAATTTTCAACCAAAATCTTAGCTAACCCAATCCCAGACACTTTATCAAAACAATAATCCAACGACCAAGTGGCTTCATCCAGGGATGCAGGGATGGTTCAACCTACGTAATCTATCAATGCAATTCACACATAAAAAAGCAAACAAAGACAAAACAATGATTCTTCATAGATGCAGAAAAAGCTTTTGACAAAATTCAACACCCTTTCATGATACGAACATAGAAAAATAGGCACAGAAGAGACATATAAAAATGATACAAGCTATATATGACAGACCCATAGCCAACATCATACACTGAATAGGGAAAAATGAAATCATTCCACTTAGAACTGGACCAGACAAGGCTGCCACTCATCTCCACTTCTGTTCAACATAGTGCTGGAAGTCTTGGCTACAGCAATCAGACAGGAAAATGGAATCAAAGGTATCCAAATAGGGGCAGAAGAGATCAAACTTTCACTGTTTGCTGATGACATGATATTGTATCTAAAACCCCAAAGTTTCAACAAGAAACTCCTGGAACTGATCAATGAATTTAGCAAAGTCTCAGGATACAATCAATACAAAGAATCACAGCCTAAGATCTGAGTTATACTGAGCAGAGATCATGAACATTTTGGTACAGAAGGAGTAATACCAATACGCACACTAGTTCCATTGTCTTTGTGACCACATTTGTTTCAAAACATGTTTTTCTTTTTGAGATGATGAAAATGTTCTAAAATTGATTGTGGTGATGGTTTCCAAACTCTGAATATACTAAAAACCATTGAATTGTAAATTTAAAAAAAAATATATATATATATATATATATTCTCAGTCAACATTATTTATAATTTTAAAATAATTATAAAAGAGTGCTTTTGTAAAAGTTGTTGCCCTGTATACTAATTTATCCTTTAAATTTCTCATCAATTCTATGGAACTTAAATAATTTCTTTAAAAGTCTTATTTTCCAGGCTAAGGCTCAAAATACTTGGGGATTAGCACAGCTGGAGAAGCTGCATTCCATTTTCTTGAACTGAATTCAGGCAATGCCAGTTCACTGAAGCCATGTGAATTGTACTTATCAAATATTCAATACAGAAAGAGGTTGTCAACTATTCTTCTTTAAGGTCCTTACCTTGCCAATAGCTGGTGTGAGTCCATCGGAGTTGTTGACCCAAATTCCCATTTGCTGTCCAAGCTCATAGGGCTTATAAGTACCATATGGTTCATCTTTTGTCAAAAAGGGCTCCTGCAAATTCCCAAGAATACTGTTACTGGCAAGAGTTTTTCTTACAATTGCTATTTAAATGTAAACTTTGCAAATATTTTTTATATAAGAATCTCTAAGGCTGGGCGCGGTGAAACAAACATCTCATTGTGAGACAACTTTTAGCAATATTCATGCCTCTGGAAGTAGCTATGGAGATGACATTTGTTTTATATTACAAATATATTAAATGAAAAATAATGTCATGTCCCAACATGGAGAAAAGATTGTTTCAACCTAAGAATCATTCCATTTACTTAATAACTATATTATTCTTTCTTTAGAATTTTTATGGCCAAGGCTTCAAATCTTGACAGAGAGGGACATTGAAGGAAAAACATATTTTTCCTTTTATCAGTAAGTAAATTTCCTTTTAGAAAGAGCACTGGATTTTAAAAAATTTAGTGGATTCCTCATCACTTGATTACATTTCTGTGTCATTAAATAATATAAAATATGCTTATAAATTTATTCTATTTTAATGTAATACAGCATGTATTATTAAATAGCGCATAAAATTTTGTCCCTCAAGAATACACTAGTGCTGGAAATTCTACTTTTTGATAAATTAATTGTAACAAATATATATTTTTAAAAATGCTTAGAAAATATAAATCAAAATATGTTATTTGATCTTCAAAAGAAATTTACCAAAATAATGACATAATGCATTCCTTCATTTTTCAGTTGCCTAATGAACTCAGGCAGACCAGCAAAGTTAGCTTTATCATATGTGAAGTCCATCTGACGCTCCATGTAGTCAATATCACCGTACTGAACATCCTGTGCAAAGGAGCAGCATAGACATGATTTTCAAACATTAAGAAAACAGACAGCTATTGTCAAAGAAGCATAAGTAGCTTATCAGTGACTGTATTCAATTGCAAATTTAAATACTGGTGTGATATTCAGGCTATTAGTAAAAAAAGAAAATGAAAATGATTTTTTCATTGGAAATTGAAAAGATGATATAAAAAAGCGATGCCAGTTCCATATTTCTCTCTCTCTCTCTCTCTCTCACACACACACACACACATACACACGTACACACACACATTACAGTATAATTATTGTACTTTCTAATTGCCTAGGTCCTCTCATTTCCCACTATACTCTTTGGGGTACACTTACGTGAGGAATATCATAACGTCTTAAACGTTCAACTGTTTTTTTCAGCACATCTATGTTATTATAGCCCCATCGACACAATTGAAATCCCAGAGACCAGTATGGAGGTAAATAGGGACGTCCAATGATCTATAAAAAATAATTAGATTCAGAAAAGTTATTTAGGTGTTGTCAAGTGTTGGTCTTCAGGACGGGCTAGCATACATATATTTCATAATGTATTGAGCCTCTAACATTGTAAGTTGCCCTGGTAGCAACCAAAGAAACAATGATTAAAATTTGGGGGTTCCAGAACTCCTTTAAGAATCAAGTTAAAGTCATGGAATTTCTTCCTGAGATAATATACCTACAAAGACAATTCATTTTACAGTTTTGTGACGGGGGGGTTGTAATCTGCCACCTCCATCCCCAGTTAATTCATTCCACCAGAAATATATGAAAGAGGTTAAAAGGGCTCCTAAATCAAAAACGTTGCATTCACATCTCAGTTCTGTCTCTTAATATCTTTGACAATAAGAAACTTACGTGATTTTTTTTACAGCTTTGGTTGCCTGTTTTTTAAAATGGAATAAAAAGTAATATCCAATTCATCCATTTACAAGTATTTATTGAATACTCACTATGCACTGTTTTAGACCCAGTCTCCTGATTTGTGGAGCTTAAATTCTAGGAGTGGATAATAATCAATGAATATGTAAAAACAAAGTAGTCCAATTTTAAAAAATAGAATGTGTAGAGGTGGGGAGCAGGGGGAAGGTTAAGGGAATTGTCTCTGGCAATAAGACCTGAATAAGTCAAGCTGTGTGAAAAATGTCTCAGGCAGAGGGACCAGAGGTACAGAGACTTACATGTCCAGGAAAAGAATGAAGGCAAGTATGGCTCAATTATAGCAAACAAAAGGGAGTATGGGAGATAGAGAAGTAGGCAAACATTCAATCATATAGGGACATGACAAAAAACTGGAAATGTTTTAGTTATCTTTTTTCAACTTTATATTACGAAAATCGTCAAGTATGTATAAAAGTAGAGAGGATAGTACAACAAACCTCCAAGTAACCAGAATCAACTATTGTCATTTGACCACACATCTTTATCCTTTTTTCCTTCTTTTTAGGGGGATGGGATGCTATAGCATTTTAAAGAATATTCCTAAATCATGTCATTTCACCCCTAAATGCATCCACAAAAATAAGAGCAATCTCTGAATAAGGGCAATCTATTTCATAAGCAAAATACTATTACCACTCCTAGCAAAATTAAATTTCAGATCTCCTGAAATTCTCAAATGCTCGTTCAAATTTCCCTAATTTTCTCATGAATGTCTTTTTTTACAGTTGATTTGTTTGAAAGGAGATGAATTATATTCAAATTGCAATTTAAGCTATTAGAGTGAGTAACATAATCTGATCTTTTAAAATTACTCTGAAAATTCTGGAAAATAAATTACAGGAAGGCAAAGGTGGTAGCAATGAAACCACTTAGGCGTCTTGCATGTTGTCCAGGCGGAGATGAGAGGGATTGAATAAAAGAGGTGACATGGTGATGTCAAAGAGTGGTCAAACTGTAATACATTTTGGAGATATTGCTAACAATACTTCCTGATGGATCTGATGTGGTAAAATGAAGAAAAGAAAGGGATGGAGGTTGTCATTCAGGTTTTGGAGTTGAAAGACAGGGACAACTAATTCTATTAATTGAGTTGGGGAAGATTGACGAAAACAAGAGAGGTTTGTGGAGAAAGCACAGGGGATAAGAAGGGTGGATGTACACACCTGGTGGATATGCCTTAATAGACATATTTAAAGTCATGGAACCAGAAGATATGGCAACGATTCTGTTAGAGACCAAAGGAAGGACTAGGATGAACTTCTAGGAGGCTCAACATTTCAAGACATGAGGAAAGGAGACTGAAAACAAGTGATTAGTTATGTAGCAGGACAAGAAGACGATGTGGTGTCAGAGATACCAAAGGAAGAGAGTGTTTCTAGAAGTGGCCACCTGTGTTCAAATACCATCGGGAGGCTGACTGAAAGGAGAGCAGAGACTTGACTACTGTATCTTGTGATGTGATGACATTTACAGACTGTGTGTATATATATATATAAATATATAGTTTATAGAGATAATACATCTATAGAGTGTATACAAAATAGCCCAACTGGAATGTGGTGAGGTGAAGAAGTAGAGACAGCCCATACATATTCTTCTCAAGAAGTTCCACAGAGAAGGAGCAGAGAGAAGTTAATAGCTAAAGGAGGCTGTGGGTTGCTAGGAGAATATGCTTGTTTAGCTTTGCTCAGATAGATGCTATTAATGCATAGTTGTTGATGGGAAACACCTGGTAGAGAGGTATTAAATTGATGATGCAGCTGGGAGCAGAGACAATTGTAGAAGTGCCTCCACAGCTGAGAACACAGGTAGATTTAGAGCACAGAGCTGTTAGATTTAGATTTGAGGAGGAACAACTATAACAGAAAGAAAGGCAAAACAGATGGGTATGCATGCTGGTAAACTGATAGATTTGATGCTTGGAAATCAATGTGGTTCTTTTTTAATTGTTTCTATTTTTTCTCAGTAAAATAATAAGCCATGTCAGCAGCTGAAAGTCAGGTAGGGGTGACATTGGAGATTTTAGAAGAGAAAAGTGTGAACTAACAGTCTCTGCGAGTGGGATTATAAATACACTAGACTAGGACATTTCATGGGATTGCCGGTCAGCATAGTGTGCTTGAGATTAAATCAAAGGAAAATTGGGCAGTGCAACCAGGAGATTGTTTGCCACAAGCTTTTAGCTGTTCAGGTGCAGGAACTGCTTTAATCAATTAGCACAAAGTTCCTGTCCGCTAAGCACAGAGTAGACGCCAAAAGCCTTGAATGAGTTTGTCATTCAGGTCTGTAGTTTTATTTCAAGTTTTTCCTATAAATCCCCTTTCCAGTGGGTACTGTGATTCATCTCTCTTTTTGACCCTATCGTAATGTCTAACACAAAATATGATCCCATAAATGTTTGTTTCTGACATAAATTAATGAAGAGTAAATGATATATGATCCATGTTTTACAGGTAAAAAGACTGACTCAGAAGTATATATTGTGGCTTGCCTGATTTTGTAGCATATAAAAGAATAAACCCAGAACTGATTAGAACTGTAATTCTGAAACCTGGCTGAACAATAAAACATGTAGGGAGCTTTTAAAAATATGTACTCTTCCAGGGGCCCACCCTGGAATAATTTGATCACAATTTCTGAGGATTTAACCCAGCATCTATATTTTTAAAGGCCCTTGGGTAATTGTTGCAAAAGGAAAGTTGAGAAATTAGCACACTAGATTGTGAGATCTTGAAGGAAAAGGACTGTGTCTACCCATTGCAACTCCACTTCCAGACCCAGAGTTTGTCTTATCTTCAGTTCTCACCAGATACCTTATTGACTGAATCTCCTAACCCTTGCCAAGTAATTCTTGTACCACCACGTTTAATGTTAAGTCTCAGCAGCTATCTTTTAAATCCATTTTCTTTCATTATCACCTTGTAATAAGTGGTGAATGTTTTATTTCCACCTTCTCAATGGCACAGCAAACACCTCCCCCAAAAGAGAAGAAGCTGGAGGAGAAGAAGGAAGCCAGTATACAAGGCCTGACAATAAGGTATGTTTTAAAGAATACAAACCACAGCCATGCAGAGCATGGAGTTCAGACTGGTGGTGAGGCTCAAATAGATATTAAACAAACAAACAAAAAAAAAAAACCAAACCCACACTGTGCAGAACATCCAAGGAAAGGTAGTTTTCATTGCCTCACGGTAGCTGAAATGATATGTGCACCAGCCTTCCTGTACTATAAGTTCTATATCAAGAAACACTCTTCATATTAAACTAAGCACCAGAGCAGCCACCCTACCATGGACATTTTCAGAATTCTCTAGACAATGTGAAAGTTTTCAGAATCAAAATAGAGCCAGGGAAGGCCATGAAGGGAGGGTTCTCATGCACAGATGCCTGACAACAAGAAGTATCACAAAAGACTGCAGAAACCACAACCTTGCACAAAGGCCATTACGACTTTATGTAAAAAAAAAAAAAATGACTTCTGCAAGGACATCTGCCTAGCAACTGCCTATCCACCCTCAACCTGGTACCACCATTGTTATTGATTCTTCTAGTCAAGGATAATTATCTCAAAACAGTTATGTAATCCTCTTCATTTTCGTTTAAAAACCTTTGTCTTCCTTTACCTCCCTGAATATGCACATAGTTTATTATAGCATACGTATTCCCATTGCAAAGCCCTATGCCCAAATAAACATTATTTTCTTTTAGATAGCCTCTCTCTGTTTGTCATTTAGGTTTACCATATCTAGTACCTGAAATTTGAAGTATGTCACTGTAAGTAACATTATCATAAACATTATTTACATTGCATAATATATATGTAAGTAACATTAATTTACAAAACATTAAATCCATTAATCATGTGCAATAAATGTTGACCTAACAAATAGCAAGCCTAAAACTATCCAAATATTTGCTTCAAGTCATATTTCAGCCCTTTAGTTCTATTCTTTTTCCTTAATTCTTAATCTAGTAGTAGAGACAGCAGTGGCGGTACATACTTGTGTCATGTTTTATTGTATTACTTAATCTTTCCAGCAATACTACATGGTAAACAGAACAAATGTTATCATGCCAATTTTATTTTGGAGGAATCCACAGTCCAAGATCTTAAGTGATCAGTACCAGGTTAAAAAAATAGCAGGTGGCAAAACTGTAGCTCGCACTTAGATCCTCTGATTCCAAGTCTAATAAATTCCAATACCATTGAAGTCATTCTATATATTAAAGTATTTCTTTAGGAATGTCTGATGAGAGTCGCTGAGAAGGGATGAAATTCTCTCACTCACAACTATCCCTCTTATGCCTTACAGCCCCATGCTCTTAGAAAGTCTTAATATAAGAATGTTTTATTCAATCTATTTGTATTCTAACCAAATTGTACATTTTTCTCCCTAGAGTATAATGGTTTTCCTAAAATAGATATCGTTGGCAGAAAGGAGAGGGATTTAAGTTTCCCCTCATGCCTTAGAAGGCCATACAAACGCAATATTTATTTCTTCACCAGGCAGATGAAACAA